TTTTTTTCACCATTGTCTACCCTTTCCAACTCACCACGCTATGTCTGCATGCATGTGTGTGTGTAAAATATTTCTTTTTACATGTCCTTCTCCACATTCCTACGTACCAGAGAGATGTTCTTGGCTTTCTGTGAATCAAATTCTGATCCAGAGATCTCTTTACTATTCTAACCCCCTAAGCCTTCTAGAGGTTCCTTACAAAGGATCCCATTAAAGGTTCACAAGAGCAGATACTGTTCATTTTTTATTAAAGTAGTTGGGTAAATATATCAAATCTGTAAATGTCTGGAGTATTTTTGGCAACAACAATTGCTCTGGGGAGGATTCCAGGGACTGGAAACAGCATTGCTCTGGAGAGGGAAGCAAAGGGTCATAGATGAGAAGAGGACTTTCTTTTTACTGGGTACTCTTTTGTGCCATTTGTTTTTTTACCATGTGCAAATATTACCTTAAAAAATTACACAAGAAGGGTATTGACTACCAATTGACATTTGTTGGATACTGACTGTTTCAGTGACTATTCACTGGTGTTTGACTATAAAACCTCTTTGAATATTTACAACAGCCTTATGTAAAACCCTATGTTCCAAACTCAGGTAGTATCCGTCACTAACTGATAAATGGCAACATGGAGAACTGAACTCAGTTCTGCTTTCCAAAACCATAGACTATGTTGTGTTGACTTCAAGTCTTCCCAAGGGAACAAAATGTGTAAGACTGTAGCATTGGGACTACTTTTAGGAAACTAAAGGAACATTGGAAGTCCTATCACATGGTTCACACCAACAACTTAATCTTCCTTGACCCGAGATGCCTTGTTAAAAGCCAGTCACGCATGTATCACTCCACTGGGAGTTGAGCCTCCCTGATGATTCCCCCAAGTCCTTCCCTGGCACTGGGGTGCTCACTCCAGAGGTGGGGAAGTTACCTGTTCCCGTACTGTCTCCAGTAAACTTCTATGTCTAAGTGGGGGATTTTCGGGGTAGAAGTGAAATGGCTTGTCAATATTCTAGTTCTCCTAAGCATATGGATTCTTCATTTATTTAGCAATTATCTTTTGAGTGGTTCAGACACTGGAGGCAAGCACTCTTCTGAAGGGTCAGAATTACAGAGGTGAGCAAGGTCCTTGCCCCCAGGAAGCATCCATCCTGGTGTGAAGAGGCAGGCAATAAACAAACAAGCAAGCAAGTAAGCAGAACGCCAGATAATGAGTGTATTGAGGAAAATTAAAACCTACTGTTAGGCAGCGTGACTGGGTGACTACCTCATCACGGGTCATTAGGAGGGCCTTTCTGGGGAAATATTTACTTAAATGACAGGAATGACAAATATGCCCTAGGAGCTATGCCCTTCAAAACAAGCTCAGGTTCCTGTGTGTTCCATTCCCTCACCCAATTTCTATCCCAATCTGCTGTTTATTTACAAGGAGATTTTTCAGTCCCAGAAGTTAGCACTAGAAAGGACCCAAGAAGTCTTCTTAGTCCAATGCCATCATTTTAGAGATGAGGAAATAAAAATGTAGAAAAGTGGAAAAAGCAGGTCCCATAGCTAGTTGGTGGCCTGACCAGTGTCTGAGAGACCTATCTAGCCCATATTTCTTCCACAAACCCACATTCCTCCCCTGCTTATCTGTCCAGTGTTCAGCTCCTCCCTGTAGAACCTTCACCCTGGTGCCTGCCTTTCTGGAGTCCACTGACACTAAATCCTCTCTGGACCAAGGGGACCATCTGAAGCAGCATTAGGCATCTTGAGGATGATATCCTGGGGACGAGGATAACAGTGGAAGGACCAACACAACTTTCCATGATGTAATCTCACCACAACCCTGCCATTCCCTGGAGCCATACCTGCCATCCTCCCTGCCCACAAGTGAGCCCTAATAGGATCCTTCAAGTCGGGGAGCTACATGGCTCTATGACCTCAATGAACACTATACATCTATCTTCCAACGTGTTCCCTGGTTTAATTGAGTTGAGATGAAAACATTCTATTCTCTCAACCCCTCTCAAAATGCCTTACAAAAAGATTAACCACAGAATTTCTTTAAATAGCAACTTCCTTTAGTACATGTAAAGTATGATCTACAAAAATTCAATCTACACAAAGATTTTCTCCTCCCCTTCCCCACGAAACAACAGCTACCATATCAAGGGCAATAACATAAACTTGGATTCTTAATGGTAGATTTTGGGATTCTTTTATTATGTAATGATTTTCATACATGCTACAAATACTTATTGAACTGCTCTATGAAATATGCTCTTACAGGTTGTTGTGAGGACACAATTGAGCTAAAGACACAGCCTCTGCCCTTTGGAACTGTGCATATGGACAACTCGAACAAGAGGCAGATGTGATGGGTGCTACCTCAGATGTATGGACAAAATCAACAGGGGACAAGGGAGTGTGAGATTTTATCTCAGTCAAAGATGAGGAAAGGAAGCTGCAATATTTTAATTGGGTATCAAAGGATGGTTATGATTATATAATTGGATAATTCATTCTAGGAAGAAATATCATGACATGTACAGGGGACAGGACCTACAAAGGCACATTCTCAGAAGAGGAAGAAGCCCAGGGTAGCTTAATTGTGAGACAGGAAATCATGAGGAGGAGAACAAAGGCTTGGAAGGGAGACTAGAGCCTTGAATGCAAGAACAGATCAAGTCTAGCCCCAATCCATAAACCATAGAAGGCTCAAGTGGGCTTTGGGCAGAGTAAGAACATCACAGTCAGAGTTGTGCTTCAGGAAGCTTATTCCGGCAGCCATATTTTGGACTACTCTGAAGGGGTAAGGGCAGATGCCAGGGACAAGGAGGCCCATTTAAAAAATTATCACATAGTTCCTGGATCATATATAAAGTAAAGAATAAATTCAAGAGCTAGAATAAAAGTAGAATTGGTGAGGGAAGGGATCCAAACCCTAGGAAGGAGGGTCTAGTTCTAGAAAGGGCTGAGGGGCACAGGCCTCAGATTCTGGACTCAAGAAGAGGAGTCAGTATGACCTGATGGTGAGTGGTGTCTCTTTAAGAAAAGGCAGTTGTGAGATGTCTCCTCCTGCTTGAGACAGTCATTGTGAGCCTACTGCAAAAAAAAGCTGCCCCCTCTGTACATCTTATGAGCTACCTATGAAGCCTCAGTTATTAATAACTCCTCTTCTGGAGACAGACAGAAGTGCCTGTTATACATGAGGAGCCCAGAACATTTCTTAAATTATGACGTCTCTACAGCAGCAGTGAAAGCAGCTTGATTGGAGTGAAAAGCAGAAGCCCAGGGAACATCCATTTCTGAACAAATGATAACTCGGTGGAGGGAGGGCAACTTTAATCAAGAACATCAGGCAGGCCAGGCGCAGTGGCACGCACCTCTAATTCCAGCACTTTGGGAGGCTGAGGCAGAAGGATCACTTGCAGCCAGAAGTTCAAGACCAGCCTGGGCAACATAGTGAGACCTCATTTCTACCAAAAATTTGAAAGTTGGCCAGGCATGGTGGTGCACACCTGTAGTCCCAGCTACTTGGGAGGCTGATGGGGGAGGACAGGTTGAGCTCAGGATTTTGAGGTTGCGTGAGCTATGACAGCACCACTGCATACTAGTCTGAGTGACAGAATGAGACCCTGTCTCAAAATAATAAGATTAAATAAAAAGCTGGCGTAATTTAAGCCTTATAATTGTGCCCTATCTGGTAAGAGAAAATGCATGATAGATAGAGGTCTTCCAACTTGAAGAATTAGATCCTGGATTCTCCTGCCTGAGCCACACATGCCTCGTTTCTTGGGTGAGCGTTCACACATTCACATAACTAGCTGTCCAGGGCTCTCTGTGATGAGGTTGTGAATTTCAAGAAGTTTATCTCTGGCCTCATTTTCTGGTAACTCTCTCTAGAAATATATAGCTGGATTTCCATTCTAGGCAGAACTATGCTAACATTTTGAAGCACATTCTCAGCCAATTGGCCCATGGAATCTGTGGAAGTTGTCTTAGTTTTCCAACATGCTTTCACAGAATATGAATATCATGAACAAAGGGGTCTTGGGGTAGAATAATTTCGAGAAATTCCATTCTAAATAAAAGTTAAGGTATTTCTTTGCTATAAGACACCTCTGAACTTTCAAGGGTTGGTATGTTCTAAGACTCTCCTAGAGTCAGAAACAGTAGTTAGCATCTCCCAACTTATGTATCTGTAAAACTATTTTCAGCAAAATGTCTTGAGAGACAAGAGTACTGCAGAATATATTTGGAGAAAAATCAGCAATGACATTACTCTCAGGAATATTTGTATTCAACTGGGAATCTGGAATAATACAAATTGTAATACTAACTGAGTGCTTACTATGCACCAGACACCTTTCTAAATACTTTACGTATACTTAATCCTTATACCCGTTGGTACTATTATTATTTCCCTTCTATGGATGAGAAAACTGAGGCACTGATTAGTGAAGAGATTTATCTAAGATCCTAAATAGAGCTGGGAATTGGACCTAGACAGTCTGGTGCCCACAGAAATTTATTTCTGATGGTAGAATTCCAAACACTGTTATCAACTGTCAGTGGGAGAAATTCTGAGCAGAGCCTTGCATGGGAATCCTTCAATCACAGTAAGTCTAAACCTTTCTTCTCATATTTTCATCTTTACAAGCTTCCCAGATGCTCTCTAGGACACAACTCCTGAACTATACCACTAATTCAGTTTCGTCACCAAATTATGTTATATTGTACACACATACTCTCCCACGAAAACAAAGTCATGATTCAGACAGCAATGCAATTATCAATAATAAATGGAAATACATAAAGAAAACAATCTCTTGATTAACCAAAACAGCAAGTAAATGAACATGCAAGTTTGAGAAATGGCTTCTCCTGTGTATCAAGGTATTGATCCTTTGCTCCACAGGTCTAGGGACAAAAACCAAAGGACTACTTTCCTTCCATGTGTTGCAAAATTTCACATCTCTACTCTACTTTGCTCAAGAATTGTCAAAGACATGTCCTACCCTTTCCCACTTCCTCTCCTTGTTCAGAAGAATTATCACCAGTTTTGGGTGCATCTGGTAACCATCTTCACTGAAGGACAGATTCCTCCCCTCAAAAGTGACGTTGATCAGATACCTGTAAAGATGAAATAAAACAAAGATTAAAAGTATGAAGAGGATATACCACGAAGAAGGCAGTTAGGTATATAGAGAGAAAGCTGGCTAAAGACAGACCAGTAAATAGAAATACAGATACCATTACCAAACTTGGTATACCTTGAACTCCCATTTGATTATGCAATAGAGTCATCCAAATTTTCACAGAGTAGGAATCATATGAAAAAGTAATATAAAAATTTTAAATAAAAGATGTTTGGTCACTGCATGTTCTTACTTACAAGTGGGAGCTGAACAATGTGAACGCATAGATACAGGGAGGGGAACAAGACGCACTGGGGTCTGTAGGCAGGGAGACGGGGAGAGGGAGAGCATCAGGAAAAACAGCGAATGTATGATGGGCTTAATATTTAGGTGATGGGTTGATAAGTGCAGCAAATCACTATGGCACAAGTTTACCTATGAAGTGAACCTGCATATCCTGCACATGTACCCAGAACTTAAAATTAAAAATAAAAATGTTTAAAAAGGTGTTTGGTTGAAGTTCACTCTATAGGTATGACATTGAGCAAATTACTCAGCCTTTCTGAGCCTCAGCGTTTTTCCCTTTTGGCAAAAACTAGTATAATAAAGGGACCTACTTCATTAGGTTTGTAAGGCTTAAATGGGATAACTTAGGTTAACCACTTACCATGTGGCCTGCTGCATAGTAGAGTCTCATTAAGTGCTAACAATTGCTATTGAAAAACAAAGATGGATTAAAGGTTGGAGATGGTAGAGACAAGAAATGAAAGTAAGAGTGTACCAAGACAACTTTCTGCTAAGAAAGGTCTCCCTCTATCCCAGATTAGGGTCTCCCTCTATCCCAGAGATATGTACATACTCTTTAACTCTTGCTAAG